TTTCTAGAGAAGTTTTATTTATATTTTTAGTGACAGGGTGTTGCTTTTTGTCAAGTGTGTTTAGGGCTCTACTAAAATGAATGTATGTATTTTCTCCCTTTGTTGTCTTTATGAGATTCATTATATTCCTTGATTTATTGAATATTAAGCCCTTCTGACATTTCTGGAATAAATATTATCCTTTCTATATATTGTTGGGCTCCATTTGCTAATATTTTGTCTATAATTGTTGCATCTACACTCATGAGCAAAGTTAGCCTGTGATTTTCTTATCTTGCAATGTTCTTTTTCCGATGTTGGTATCAAAGTGATGCTAGTCTCTTAAAATGAGTTTGGAAGTGTTCCAGGGATTCTGCTCATGGCCAAATTTAGCTCCAGAACTCCCTTGCTCAACTCTGCTTGGGCTGGAAGCTGGTCTAGGATGCTTCCACCCAACCTTCTACTGTCTGTCCTTCACTCAGGATCACACTTATCTTCATCAGCTGACTCTTCAGCCTTCCTGGCTCCCTCTCCATTTTCTCTCAGGCTTTTGCCCTGATCACATCTCTGCACATTTAATTGCATCTTGGTGTTTGCTTCTCAGAAGACCAAACTAGCCTATTAGTTTTATAATACACTTCTAGTGTATTATATATATATATATATATATATAATATATATAGTATAATAAACTTCTAGTTTTTGCTGGACAGAATTTGTGCTGGGCAAAAAATAGCACTACACAATCTACCTTTAGCTATGAACAGAATCAATGTAGAAAGCAGTTTTCCCAATTTCTCAGTGAGCACCCCAGCAGTGAGCCAGGGGGGCATCCCTGCTGATCAGCACAAAGGGGCTGAGACTGGCATGACCAAATGTTAGAGGTAATTTAATACTTACTGTGGTGTAATTATTTGTCAAGAAGGAGCCTATGCAGAAGGAGAAAATGAAATCTGCCCAACAAAAGAGAAGAAAACAGGTCGTGAGCATGAGAGCACTCTGAGTAGCTCTGATCTCAGGGCTGGAGTTTCTTTGAAACCTGGAGCCCTGAAGGTAGGGCACACTCTGGTGATGCTTATATAGACAAAGAGCTGTGAGCTCACTGCTCCATGAGACTCCGAAAGATGACCTTGTGCAGAGCCATGAGAGTAGGGAAAAGCCAGGGGGCCAGTGGCCCAGATGCAGCATGTCTCAGTAGCGATCAGATGCTGGAATCCCAGATGTGCTCACTCTGTCCCCTGCTGTGATGTAGCAGACCAAGCTGGAGCTTCTCAGGAAATTGCAGATCCCGAAGAGGAGCAGATTGGGAGGCACTTGCTTGCAGTCTGTGGTTTGAGCTTCCTCTGCTGCTGATGGCCTGGACCACGCCGAGGAGGCAGGTGGTACAGACTGAAAGACCGTGGGCCACGCTCCCCAGATAAAGCGCAGTCTTGCAACCAGCATTGCCTAAGAAATTTCTGAGATGAAAAAAGGTGGTTATATCTTTGGTACAGAGAATGGTTGTATTTGCAAAAGCCAAATGGATGAGGATAAGGTCCATGGGTTGTTTGTTGTTTTTTTTTCCAGGTCTCATGAGCAAAGTATATCCATGTCTCACCAATAGAAAGAGGTTCCCCACAGTTCCAGGTCCAAGAAGAGAAAGCAAGATTATTCCCTGGATGATCTTACTCCAAATCATCTTCTGACATCATGCAAAGAGCTAGGAAGAACTTTTGATAGACACAAATAAGTAAAGATTACATAGTTTAGGTCTGTGGCTTTTCTGTGTCTACTCCAGTGAAAAGAACACTTTTGGTTCTGAAGTTTGTAAATGTACATGGTTCTATCACTTGCATGTCTCCAATCTCATTCTTTGCTCTTTCTTCTTTTTCTCCTGTTTCAGTTGATATGGTCATGGTGAGAACTACAATTTAAACATCCAGCCCAGACATCCCTCATATACTCCACACTAGGGCATCCACCTGCTGATCCAAGAGGTCCTTCTATTCCCTATACATGTAACCCTCGTGTATATAATTTATGCGACAACATTCTTCCCAAGACAACAGCTAGGCAAAGGGCAACATCGCTCTGTCAATTTCTATGCTATCATGCTGAACACCATTTTAGATGCTCCTTCTTCACGACTCATACCCTGTAAATGATCTCACTGCAGAGCACTGAGCTGGTGCTCCACCTCGGTCCATTGTACCAGCCTGTGCACACTTACCCCTCAGAGACTGTGAATACTGGGCTGACAGAGAGTTGTAGTTTCTCCAAGGAACTGTACTGGGCTAAATGAGAGTAGTTTCACAGGGCAGGCTATGTGGCTTACCCTCCCCCTCCAAGGGCAGGAGGAAAGTCCAGCACCCTTGCCTTATGGGGGGACTGACTCTGGTAATATTTGTGTTCCCGATTTTCCACCTGGGTCGAGTCAGACTGGAGCAGAGTTTTTTTCTCCCATCTGTGCTGTTCCCATGCTCCACCTCTCCTGAAGCTTTCCCCCAGCAAATCATCAGAGGAAGAGACCTGGCTCCATGGGATCCAACCAAAGACGCACATCTTACTGACTCACCCTCTTCCCTTTTGTCAAATTTAGTGACTTTCTCTATCAGAAATGCCCCACCCTGAAGGTCAAGTTCCTCAATATCTCATGCTGTGATTTATATAGCCATTTCATAAATTGTATCACTCTTTTTGTTTATTCTCTTTCTATATCATAGCCAAAATGAGCTTTTGAACCATGAATCTGTTCCTTTTGCTTCACTGCCTACAAACCCTATATGGCTTCACATAAAAACCTTCTGTCTAAACATGCTTGTCCTTCACAGTTTGGCCTCCTCTCCTTACCAGATTTATTTCTGAATGACCTTCAACTCCCCTGCCAACAGATGTGCCTAAACTCCAGATGCTGAGACGTTCTTGTCCTCCGCTGCCCCCTTTCCGCAGCTAACTGCTGCTCATCTGTCCTACATCAGCTCAGAATTTTACTGTCTGGCGACTTTCCCTGAATTCACTGGGCTCTGTTGCTACCGTCTGTTTACCTGCTTCCTTCTTCCCCTCAGTAGCAGAGCGCTTGAGAGGTGCTCTCTGTCCACCCAGGGTCTCCGTTACCCAGCACAGTGCCTGCTATGAAATGCCCAAGAAATTGTTTATGAAAACATTATGAAACGAGACATACGGTTATGTCGTAAAACTGCCTGTTACTCAGAGATGAGTTTGTGAGCTGATTTGGAGAGAGATTTGAGTTGATTTGTGTTCTTTCACAAATGTCAAACTGAATGAGTTGGAGAAGTCAATCCACCTGGGATGACTTGAGTGTTTCTTCACATCTGTCAAAGATACACTCTTATATGTGATCTGCAGGATATTGGAAAGAGAGTTTATATATATTTTAATAAGCTTTCAAAGCCTCTTCTGTCATTTAAGGAAGAACAAAATGCAGGCTGTGGGAATCAATGCATATTCTAGAGACTTGCGCAGTATCATTAAATCTGAGAAGTAGAACGACGTTCACGTGAGCAAGTTTGCAATCAGCCTTTCTGGAATTAAAGACTGCCTTCCCAACTCCTGTCTGGAGGACTCTGGATATATTATTTGGCCTCTCCAAGGTTCTCATCCATAAAATAGGGGTGATACTTTGTACTATGCAGGCCTGTCCTGAGGATTAAATGAGCTGATGTATGTCGTGCTAGGTCAGTGCCTGCAAGGATCGCAGAATCATTTTCTAAAAACAACTATTCATGTTACTACGTGTTCCCACACCTTTTTTAAAAAAGAAATTCTCTATAATAATGTACTGTGTCACTTTGGGCAGCTGCAGAAGGAAAGCATCAGAATAAATAAAATCTTCATAGAGCAGGCAAGCAGGGCCCAGAAGGAAGACAGAAGGACCCCAGAAACAACACACAAGCTTAAATACCAGGGAAAACAGCCACCTGCTGAGAGGAGCCTGCAGACAGCGCTGGCTTCCACACCCCTGGGGGAGATGCCCTGGGCACCCGGGTCTCCCGCCCCCGCCCCGCCTGTTAGGAAGCGGCAGCCTCGGGCACAGTGCATCAAGCCTGTTGCAGCACAACAGCCCCTCGCACACCAGACAGGAGCAGATGTCTCTGGAGGGGCTGGGACACGCTCAGCTGTCTCTCCCTGGGTCCTGGCACTTCCTCCTGCACAAGGACAGAGGAGCTCCGTCTGCTCCCTCACGCCTGCCCCTCGCCAGCCCTGCCCCCGACAACCTGCTGCCCAAGCCACAGCTGCCGCGTCCAGGGCTGTGAGGCGTGCTCACCTGGGCGGCTCTGGGCAGCCCTGCCCTGGGGGGGGTCCGGCCGAGCCGCACCTGCAGGCCCTGTTTATACTTCCCTGAGTCCCTGTGCTCACTGAGGTCACGACGTTAGTGTCACCAGTTCTGGCTTTGCCAGGGGTACGGGCTCCCCCTGCACCATGTGGGTCCCGGGGGCACACCTTCCCTCTCCCTGATGCTCTGTAATTCGCTGAGCCCAGAAACATCGTGACCCCAACTCTAGTAAACGTGCAGTCATGAGTAGGAAGCAGTGCAAGGACGAGCACCCAGCCCGGCACAGCCCGGGGAGGCCCAGCTCCCCGTGACCCTATTAGGGCTCCTGCCGCCCCACACACCCACGGTCACCACCAAAGCGCAGGAAGAAGCACCTGAGGATCACCAGCGGGCGCTTCCGGAATATTTTCAAACTCCACACTACACTGATAATAAAAGATCACGTGGTGGTAGAGTCAGAATCCTGGCTACCCATGACGGAAGTTTCTAGAAAAGAGCCGGAGGGGGACTTCTGGGTGCTGGCTAGGTGCCTGCGAACCAGTCCCTACAACTCACCCATTGCAGTGTGCCCCTTCCGTTGGTAAGTTTCCCGAGGAACCGCGCCAGGGGCTGGGGAAGCGCACGGCCTGCAGTCCGGGGCCGGACGCAGCTCCGAGCGGGGGAGTGCAGCCTCCACGCAGAGCTGTCCGACTCCTAATGCCACTTACAGAGATGGCTTTCTCCTTGTCCATTCAAGCAGAGCCGGGAAGCTGATTTTGAGATTCACCACCACGCGGCAACACCGACTGGCTGAAATAATCCTTCGCCGGGCTCCACCCAGACCCCTCCTTCTGAGTGGCCGGCCGGCGGTGCCTGCGAAGGAAAGCGCTGGGATGGCTGGTGCCGGCTGAGCCTGGACGGCAGCGGAGTCAGGGAGGCCTTCGTGGGAGGAGCGGAGGGACGTGGGCTGTGGACCAAGCACGGAGGAATTGGAGCGCAGAGCCTGCGGGGGTTTCATAAATGGAGGGACGCCGCGCAGCAGGACCTGCCGTCCGCAGGGGTGTCTCCCTGAGGCCCAGCCTCAACCCTGTCCTGCCCGGCGTGCGCTTGTCCCGCTCACATTGTTTCTACTCAGTTCTTCGAGTCCCTCAGCATAACATCTGTGCTTCCTCCAAAGTAGAGTGTGCGTGAGTGTATGGGTATCTTCTCGACCACAATGTCTACGGTTGCGGAGTTCCTAAATAGGCCTAGAGAAGAGGTGGCCATGAGGAATTCCGTGAAGAAAACACCAGATTGAATTGCAAGGTACAATTTAATAGAGTTTCAAACAAGCCAATTTAAGTGTACATTGTTTTGGAATGTTTCCATATGTGATAAATGAAAATAAAGCAGGGAAATATTATGTTTTACCTTTTGATATTTATTTCTAAATTAACTATTTTTTCAGATAATATGGTTTTAACCATACTTTTTTTTTTGAACTATGTTTTTAAAATATTTTTTGAGACCTTATGGCCCCACGGTGTTTTGTACACCTTCTTAATAACACATATATTCTTTAATTTTAGGATGTAAGCGTCTATACAGGTTTTAAATTATTAATTATGTTGTTCTAAATGTTTTTACTGATTTCTGGTATTATTTACCTATCAGTAAGTGAAAAAGATATGTTGAAATTTTATGCTGGTGGATATGTAAATTTCTCCCTGTAGTTCTATCACTTTTATTTTATATATTTTAAGATTGTGTTAATAAGTATATATAGTTGAGAATTATTTTATTATATGATTTGGACATTTTATCACTATATAGAAACCCTCTCTGGTTGCAGTAATACTTTCTTGTCTTCACTGTTTTGTCTTGTATTAACATCGGTTTTCCTACATTCTTAGTGTTTTTATAAGTCAAGGTATCTTATTCCACAATCTTACTGTTAACCTGATCTGTCATTATATGTTGGATCGGCCTCTAGAAGAGGGAAAATAGCAGTATTTAATATTTAGTTTCCTATAATACAATATTCATAGGCAACAAAGAATAATAGTTTGCTCTGGAATTACTTTTCCTGAGTTTGATGCCTACTTCTATTAATTGCTAGCTCTAAGACCTTGGAAAAGTGATTTACTTACTTGCTGCTTTCTCAGCAATAAAACAATGGTAATAAAATTAAATTATTTAATATTTGTGAAGCATTATATAAATGTTTGGTGTTTGAAAGAGTAAAACGTCTCCCAGACTGAAAGAGTGAAAATCAGCTCATACTGAAAAAGAAAAAAAAAAGTATTTATCAGGCTGAGAGAACATACACAGATAAAGCAGGCTGCAAAGTGGACAGGTAGCGCCCTTTCCTCCAAGGCCATGGAGCAGCTGAAAAACCCTGTAAATGCGCCCTCTTGAAATGACTACTACTTTCATACCAATGATGTCCCAAAACCAGTTTTTATATATCTATCTGTTACTGGGAATACTCAGTTGCTAAATCACCTTGGACTCATGGTTGCAGCCAATTCTTACTTAATGCTGGCGTCTCCTAATTACTAATCCGATCTCAGAAACATTAACCAATCCTGCTTCCCTGAGCCCCTACTAGGAATCCTTTACCAGAAACCCAAACATTACAATAGATGCTTCATATCTTTCATTTATATGAGAGACCATTCCATGGTTCCTCTGGAATGTCCTCCGTCTATCTCTTGACTAACAAATCAGATTTATTTAGCCTACAGGTTTGTTTCTAGAGATCTGGTGGTTCCTGGATAAACTGCTTAGGCATTAACGTGTTGTTGTAGGATATACGGATATACTTGGATTTGTATTCAACATCTCTTTGATTTGTATTTTTCCCATATTTGTGCTTACCATTTCTTCTTGTTTGTCTTTTTCGACTAGATTTCTGATTTTGCTGATTCCCCCTTTTATTTTACTGTTCTCCTCCACTCAGCCGTGTGGTATTCAGTTTTTCAGTTCTTTGTGTGCTTATTATGGAAAATTTCATCATACATGGTTGACTTTACAGAGCCTGAAGTTAATCTACTTCATAACCTCCTCCAAGCACTACAGCACTCTAACACATTTTACATCTAATTGCTTCTGCCTCTTAAAGTATTCCGAGCCTGTGTTTTAATTCCTACCTTTTCAATCAACAAAGGAGACATCATATGTCAGCATCATTATTCTCTTATACTGGCAATATTTTCTTATGTTTACCTATTTACCAATTTCTGTTTTTTTCACTTACAGTTTAACTCTCTTAGATTTTTTTTTTTTTTGTAATTCTTCAAGTGTGAACTTGAAGATTCCTTGGTAAAGTTTTGATAGTGCGATATTGCTGTTTTACTTCATCTCATATGATATTTATTTTATCCTCATTCTTGAAAGATAAATTTACTCTGTATAACCCTCTGAGTTGACAGCATTTTTTACCCAACGGTTTCAAAATACATCTTATCACTTCGGGCTTTTACATTTTGCTTTTGAGATATCTATGTCAATTTGCACATCCTTTCCTCAGAAATCTTTTTTCTGGTTGCTTTAAAATCTTTTACTCTTTTGTGTTATAAATTGCACTACAATGCATCTGATGAGATCACCTTCTATTTAATCTGCTAAGACTGTGTTGTGCTTTCTGTGTCTGTGGGATCTTGTCTTCTCCCACTTCTGGAAAATTACCATCTCCCATCCCCTTCCTTATTACAATGGCATTTAGCCCAAGTTCCAAGCCACCTCAGAGAGTTACTCACTTTTCTCCAGGTATCTCCATGTGTACGTGAGGTATACGTGTTAATAAATGCCTGCTTGCTATTCTCTTGTCGGTCTGTCTTTTATTTCAGAGGTCCCAGCTTGGAACTCAGAGGGTAGGAGGAAAATCATTTCCCCACTAAAGCCCCACGTGCACAGGAGGAGCATGGTGATTCTTGTCCTCTCCAGATCCACGGTTGTGATGTGCTCAGAAAACAGAATCTCCAGCCATCCTTTGTTACTTCCCCGTGCAAAAAGAAAATCTCAAGAAAAAAAGGAAAGCGACCGCGATGTGTTTGGGAGCTGGTCCCCATTCTGATTCACAGCCTTGGAACTTAGGGAAGGTGAGGAGGGGCCAGAAAAATGGGAAAGCTGGATCCAGGAGCCTCACTAGTTGTTCATTTTCCCACCGCACATCCTTCCTATTAAAATAATTAAGCTAATTAAGACGGAGAACAGTTCTGAACCCAACACTTGCTGTAATTGTGGAGGGACAGGGAAAGCTCTACTTCAGGGACTGAGATTCTGCCAAGGGTTTTCTCGTAGCTCTCATTTGGTGCATTCCTGTGTTTGCCTATGAGCCAGCTCTGTCTTCCCCAGTGTGTGACAGATGCCCCACGTGCATG